CGCACTATTCAGTAGCCAGGAATGCGAGGTTAATGCGATTCTTATCGAACCTTTCACCGACCTTACGAGCGAACTTCATAATAAAGCATTCGAAGCTTGTTTCGTGTGCTTTCATCGTCAACTGTAGCATCATGGCGCAATATTATTTTAGTAACAACGATTCCCTATCGAAGTATGCATCCCGAGTCTATGTTAGCCCTAATGCAAATGAACGATTTTTTATCGGCGTTGCGACATTTTGTCGTTTTTGCTATCATTTTCTCTGACATTCGTTAATGCACCGTTATTAACGTGAAATTTGAGTAATAAGATACAACAGCGAGTCACAATACAAATAACAAGTTGCTGGACCTCAGGCGTCACGTATGAACGTAAAATCGGTTAAAAAAATTAACGATTAATATAGAAAAGCGAAAGTATTGTAGATTACGACAATGTTCTCGGTAGAATTGTTACTTCGAAATTTTGCTCAAGGTCGCGATTCGAAGAAAAGAAGCACAGGGCAAAAAGAAAATTTAGAGAAAACTTTAACTGCCATGCAATTATCGTTACCAGCGGTGATGGCGAGCTAACAGTTTGCTCGAATTTAAATACCGTCATTCGAAGGGCTCACCACAATTTGTTCGAATGTGTCCTAGCAAGGACGGGATTGAAAAAAAGAATGTCAATAGGTTTGGAAAAAAGGAAAGAAAAAATAGCTCGCGACAGGGGAAACGGTATCTAAATCGAAACGATGAGACCTGCTCGACGATCGCCAGCTAGAACGGATTACCTCTAATCTCTGATATTAGTTCCTCCCTTTTGCATTCATCGTAGCTCGCACGTTTCTATGGAAATATATCTCAATTTACCTCCTATTCTTTTTGCAGACGTTCACTTGTGAATGCCAGAACATAAAGGATGGCGGAGATAAATCTTTGTACCGCCCGTGGACGGAGAATCGTTGAAAGTCGCTAATTAGAAAATCGTATTAAGATAAGGGACGATATGGCCGCACCGTATTTTTAAGGATTTCCATGTCCTTCTTGCAGTAGAAAGTTTTGTTCTAATTCATTAAATAAAATCGAGGTACGTTCGCGAATTTTGTTAAAAATCGGTCGACGATTCTGCTATTAATTCCTTGGTTTCTCATTTATGTTAGGGGTGTCTCTATAGCGGCAGTTTTACAAATTCGATATTTTTTGCACTTTTCAATGATTCGGTGCCTCGAAACTGGAAATTATGCAGGGGGTTCAGACGAATTAATAAAAATGGCAGATCTTTAATAATTAATATTTTTATTACATTAAGCGTTACCACATTGATTAACATTTGAACGCCTATATTTAACATTTATAATAATCGGAAAACAGTTTTTGGTCTTAAGTAAAAATTCGACTGACTGTACTGAAATAAAAAAAAAATTGCTTGAAAATGGATAACGTGGACTTCCTATAAAATCCATGGTTTTAAACGCGGACAATTGACAATCTGAGCAATTCATTCTCAAACGTGCATACTGCAGGTTAGCCCAGTATCGTGTCGATAAGCATCGATTACCAACTCGAAGCCCATGCGTTTGTGTAATCGACAGAACAGTTTAGTGGAACATGAGCCGAAAACACGTATCGTTCTCGTGCGCAACGGTTCACCCACTCGGATTGTTATCATTGCGTGATGCATTCCCTATCATTGTAGACGATATAAATATCAAAATTCTCTTAAGGCTGAAATTTTATGTTATGAAATGCTTTAATGCAATATTCTATAGCGTTATGTATACTCTTCTTTGCAACAACTGCATAAAAATTATAAACATAAAGGAAGTAAAAATTTTAATTATAAAGAAAATAATAATTCTACTACTGATTTTTATGGAATTAAAACGAATTTTATCAGGAATGGTCTGTCAAAGCAAAAATCTTAACAAATCTGCATTCATGTTTAATATTCCTTTTGATTTAAAAAGAATTTCTATGAAAAATAAAAGCGCATGTAATTTCCGAGTTTGTTAAATAATAAAAGAAGTTAACAACGGATTAAGCAGGAAAAATTACATGCACCCTAAATAGCGTCTGATTCCTGAGAAACTACTCGAGCTTTCATCACGTTTCCTTACAGTAACCAGCTTACACTGCTCCATTTAATACTTGAGCCACGCATCTTCTTCCAACGTCGCACACGAGACCAGCGTGCATCAACCTCTTCTGACACCTACATGCTTTGAAACTTTGGTTAATGCTCCGCGATGCAACAGGATCTTAAGAAAGTTGACATTCGTCTAGTCAATTTTCAACGGATTAGAAAGTTTCTGTCTAAAGTGCTCGAGTTAAGTACTTACATATTTCAGTTCCACACCGCAATGTTGCGAAGAAAAAAAATATTTTCTTCCACCTGCTTCATATTTTAAAATCAGGCACCACATTCGTAATTCATTAGAAATCTTGAATAACAAACCCTTCGCCTTATAATTTATACCATGATTTCGTTTGCAAGCTTTAGATTGTTCTTAATAATAACTATAGCAGGAAAGAACTTCTACATTCCTCGTAAACATACATTTACTGTAGACGTTTCATATTCATGAATCCGGAATAATATTTCTCCTTAATTAATAAGGACTGAAAAACATTCGTGTTTGTTAAATTTAATATATAGTCCTGTACCTTTATATGCTTTATTACTATGCTTTTATTCTTTGGAATAAAATTCAACATATTATAATTGGCAGTCTTCTTTATATTTCTATAAAATATCATGGAAATCGAATATAATTTCATTGAAGTAAATCCTGATTTTTACGAAAGATATAATTGTAGAAACGTCAAAACTGCAATTTATTCAGCATTCAAAGCTGACAAACTTTTGTGCACAGATTTTTTTTCTTTCATGAACCATCGGAAGTATATAAAAAATCGTAGCGTCCGGTAGGATGAATACCCGGTATAATTTCAGTTTAAAGAGGAGGAAACTCCTTTTTTCTCTTGTAGATGCGCTAATATACTGTCGCTCAGACTGAAAATTGTCCACCACTCGTGTCAACGTGTCTATTGGTCTCCATGAAATGTACTATGCGGCTGTCCCAAGTTAAAATTACTGCTTTTCACTTTAACTTTTAGGTACTGGAATTTAATTACAGTGAACATTATTCAACTAATCGAGGTGAATTCTAATTGACCATGTCATACGCAAACTAATATTTTCATTCTCGTACAAATACTCTTCTTATTCAGACACATATTTATTTCAAAGTAAATCAAAATTTCGCTTTTCATTATTAGACTGTATAATATCGTTTTGACATTAATGATGCTAAAGTAAATTTCTATATGTAACGTGAGGTTCCAATAAGCACAAGGATTTCTAATATCATAAGCATTAGAATTATATAATATATTCTACTTTGCTTCGTGTGTTTAATGTATCGAGCAAATTCATTATCATTTGTAATGTACTATAAATAGTTCACGTAAGTGAAACCGAATCAGAAACAAGTACCACGAAACAGAGGAACCTATTATGTACGTGTTTTGCACTGACAGATCAAGGTTACGATCTAAAATCCACAATGCAGAATCATCATTGTACGCTATAGGTTATTCCAAAATGTGTGTCCTTAATTTCTTCTGATACCGTACATTATACGTTATAATAATTGAATAATTTCATAATTTAATAATTTCTTATCAATAATACTCATCCATACTTATTACTATCGTTTTTACAATATTTTGAAGAAATTTAATTAGAAGACGGAAAGTATTTAAACACATGAAATATAGCGAGGCATTCAAAGTATATTTAAAATCGAAAATATAATACCTTATATGTGGTACACTGTCCAAAAAATTGTTTAATCTTCATCTAACCTTCTACCTAATTTATTTTAAATACATGACATCATATCTAAGCTAATATTTATGTTCGTTAATTTAAATTACCATTTGAAATTCTTCTTTGTCAAGTTTGTCGCAACCTTGAACATAATCCGTCAATTACGAAATGGCATAGACGAAAACTCAATCAAAGTAGTGTTACTGACATTGAGGAACGCCTAAAAGCCTCTCACTCTGTGGCGGCACGTGTTCGAGAAGGGACCATACTACCGAAATATTTTGTAGCCCCTACCGCTTTGCCTCCGCCATAAATTCTGAACGAAGAAGGCGAGAGCGAAATCTCACGTTTTTATGACTTTTGCATTTATATAACAAAACCACACACAAAGACACTGCGGCGTGAATACCTGCGTAAGTGTTACGTAGATCGCACGGAACTTTCTGTAAGTGGTCGATTTGCATAACTTGTTAAAACGAAAATTTTTGGTTGTCGACGAATCCTACTCGTTTTACAAAGTATTAATGTAACCGTGTCAAATGAAGGATTGGAAGGTCAACAATTTTACAAGGTTATCGATTATCCCATCTTCAGTTACAGATTAGAAGAACAAAGGACAATGCTGCTAATGTATTAGAATATTCTGTTATATTCCATTAATTTGTAATACATAATAATAATAGGTTGTCATACGAATTCTTGAAATATAGTTTTTTCCATAAATCAAGATGTACTGTTAAAAACTCATGAAATTTGTAATAATGAATATAAAAGAATTAATATATTAAATAATGATATTCATTTAAAAGTCTTTGCAAATTTTTGCAGATATCTATATGAATTTCCATAAATAATAAAAATATGTACCTATTTGATGTATCGCGACCAACTTTCGTTCATTTTGATATATTCTTCTTAATTGACAAAGCTTCACTGACTATTAAAACACGAATCTTATCTTTTTTTAAGTGATATGTAGCAAGATAGTATTATTAACCAAATACGATGCATACCACACCATCAGTGAAGAATCCCCGCGGCGTGGTTTATTATTACGTCAGTTAAAAAGTTTGGGGAGCTTCGTATCTTCACAGTGAAAGGAATGCCATGGGCCGTTGCCATATAAAAACCGTCGAGTCTTCCGTTTAAGTCACATTTCGATCCGACTCCTCAAACCAAGCACAACCATGAGAGTTTTTGTAGTAAGTAGTATACTAGAAGCAATTGTTCAAGTGTCGGTCAGTCAATAATTCCATTATAAAGCACGTACCCATTACAACGTATAATTCATCAGTTCAAACGCATACCTGTCAAATTTGATCATTACATTTAACCTAATACAACATACGATATAATTTTCTGAAAAAAAGATATAGTCAATATTGTCTCAATAGCACCATCAATTAATAATCACCCTTCAATCTTCATTAACTACTTCAGTAATTCTTCGATTTTCATTAACAACGCCACGTTCTTTTCCAGGCTTCTTTCCTCTTGATGGCCGTTGTCGCCTCCAGTGGAGCCACGCCTCTGAAGAAACTTAGCAAACGTGGACTCGCTTACAACGGTAATGGTGTCGGATCGTCGTCATACCTTCCACCTGTTCCAGATACATTCTACTCGAAACCCGTTATCCCAGCTCCGACTTACGGGGTCCCTTCTGCCGGACCAATTCCCTTGTTCAAGCCTCCAGTTTCAACCTTCTCTGTTCCGGCCCCGACTTACGGTGTCCCCGCTGTTAGCCACCACGTCTCTTCGTTCAAAGCTCCCCTTCCATCCTTAAGCACATCCTTCGTTGCCCCGGGCCCAACTTACGGTGCCCCCTCAGTTGGCTCCCATGTCTCGTCGCTGAGCTCGACCTTCGTTGCCCCAGCTCCAGCACCGGTTCCAGCTCCAACCTACGGAGTCCCTGTGTCTCAACCGGCTCCGATCTACAGCGCTCCAGTGTCGCATTCGGTGGGACCCATCAGTTTGCCCAGCTCCTCTTATGGTGTACCAAGTACTGGTGTTGACGTATCCCTCGGCCATGTGGGCAGTAATTCGTACGTAGCGCCCAGCACTTCCTACGTAGCGCCCAGCACTTCCTACGTAGCGCCCAGCACTTCCTACGTTGCACCCAGCTCTTCCTATGGTGCTCCCAGTGTTATTCCGGAGAGTGGCCTCAATCTTGGACTTTCTCTGCACCAGCCAGCCACTTCTTACGGAGTCCCCTCAGTAGTTTCTCACAACACCGGAGTCGCTGCTGACCTCTCCGTAGCACCAGCTGTACTGCCTGCACCCAGTCATCCGGTAGCCGATTTCCACGGACAAAATGACGGATACTCATATCCTGTTCCATCGAAGCAATTGCTCGATTAAGCAGTGATTTACGAAGGAAACTCTTTAAAACAATACTAACCAAATCTTTTCGTCTTTCGAACGAGAGACGCGACACTTTTTTTTACTGTCAATTTGTACCTTATCTTCCATTCGATGTAAGTAGACACTGAAATGTGAGCTTGAGATGTGGCAAAGACGGAAACCGTTGAAACGCAACATCAAGAATTGTGTGGCGCATCTGCCTAGATAGTTTCTTCTCGGTAGAACGATTGTAACAAGTTCCACTAGAGATTTGTAATTGTAGACCACGTGTTCATGTTCACACGCGTAGAGAAGCAGCTCGTCTTGTCGTGAGAAGCAGCTATTAGGCACTTTTGTACACTGTAAAGAAAAGTTAATAAATTTTTGTACGTTTTAATCTTCGTTGTTTTAATTGCTTTTTCCTTCGTTCCCTTATTATTATACTTTTAGTGTGAGATTCTAGATGTAAAATTAATATTATGGTGTAATTTGAATGAACATGCAAAGTGACATCTTTGTGGAAATGGAAGTTACATTTCATTTATGTCGTGTCTGACAAATTTGCAATGGTAACCTATGTCTCTAATTGGTAAACAGTGATGAAGAATCTACCGATCTTGCGACATTGGAGAGCTGTGTTCCGATACTCCGGAATCCAGAGAGTGGGAGACTTTAAGAATTCGAAGGCAACCAAAATTCATTTAAATACCTCCTTTTTCGCCATATGAACGTCAACTGACCTCTTTCAGTGAAAAATGAAGAAGATGCCCAAAAGATGAGAGAAAGTTGTGCAATATAATTACATATTAAAACTTGATGAACACTACTTTACTTTAACCGAAGAATCTGCAGTGTCCTGTATAATTTTAAATAGGTTGGCGTTTCGATTTTATTCGTGAATGCACAAATCACAATACTTTTACTGTTAAATGATAAACATGAAAGTACATCAAATTGGAAAAAATATAAAAATATTTAAATAAAAAGAAATTATAAGAGTATTTATATTCACTCTTATCATTGAATACTGATAATAAAAAATTCGTATGCAAATCCGACTCTAAGAATATTAACGATATTCGTGCCTATTAAATTGAATGCACAGTCATTCGATTTAACAAGCAAAGTATTGAAAACCAGAAATCCGAAAATTATATTTTTTCAGTTATACATCGCCGTCTTTTGTCAGGGTGTCTGCAATGGTGGGGCACGTATGCGTCACGCTGGCGTTTCGCGATTCAGAATAAGTCAACCGACCCGGCTTCTTTATGCTCTCACGTACACAAAGATTTCACCTATGCAACGATGAAATTCTAGTCGGAAAGCTCCGCGTACACGGACACGGCTGCTCGTTCACGTACACTTCTGGGCTGCTTTTTGCCGAAAAACAGGCAGTCACGCACTATTTTACGACTTGCGCCGGGCCTCTAAATTAATCCGAGCTTTCCGACTGCGAGGACGACCCTTCACGCACCCTTCCCAGAAATGAAGTACGTTCCACGTTTGTAGACGTGGGGTTACTGTGTCGTTAAACTACCATCCTTGATATCACTTCGCGCCGTCACTAGAAAAGCTTTCCATAACGTTTAAATGAAGAAACTGTGAGATTAGATGTACCAGTTGGAAACTCGTTTCTTCGGGTCGTCAGCGCGGAAGAAAATAAAAAGGAAAAACAAATAGAAAAAGGAAGAATTATCCGCTCTCGGAATTCTTTTGGGCAGAAGATTTGAAAAGCTGCAGTTTCAATCACGCGGCGCTGGAATGCCCCAGTTTGTGTCAAGCTCTGAAAGCCGAATAATTCTGAGTTAGAGTAGCACCGCTGCATGGAGTCGAGCTGAGAGAGCACAACGTTACCGGCTTGAAACTGTCATTAAACAGTTGCTACCGAATTCATCTAATTTCTTGATATGCTTCTATTAGAAATCCTTCTCATTGAAGTTAAATAAATGTTAGCTATTTTACAGCTTCATTTTTTGCAACCTCGTCTGAAGCTTGACTCCTATACACGGTTGAATTTCACTTTTCACAAATCTGATATTGCAGTAATGAAAATCTCTTTTCCACGATCAAATTAAGAGTGATACTTTAATGTCTAATCTTAAGTGACTCATTTGGTAGATTATCATTCTCATCTTTTTCTATTACTACTGTCGAGTACACTCTAAAATTATTGAAACAACATGTGGCTACGTACATCATTAAGAAATGTATAAGCGTAGGAGCAATTTAAATTAAATTAAATTAGATTGAAGACAGGATTAAAGGTTATGTAAAAGTGGCACCTGAAAATACAAAGAAATAATTCTAGACATAAAGGGTTGACACATTCGTTATATTGTGATCAAGGTGAACTTATGCTCGTTTCATGCCATCACATGCAAGTAAATTAGGCATGATTATTAACGGAACTTATTAAACACGTTGCTAACAATAGATGAACATTGATTACGTGGATAGTAGTTGCAGCGACTGTTTTATTACTGAAACGGAACAGACATCAGCAAGTTGAAATGCGTGCTATATAGAAGCTAATTGTAAACATTTATCTAACGTGAAGGATTTATGGACAGTGCAAATGTATTCGCAAGACCCCTGCTTAATTACGCGGATTCCAAAGCATCATTAGCACCCTCAGTATTTAAGCTATAACGGAGAAAGCGAAAGTTTCTACTTTGGTCTGAATTATACGAATTCATGCATGCGGATCATCGCAGGAAATTCGTCTGGTACGGTCACAATTAACTATTAAACCCTTTACTATGGATAAACACGCAAATTTTACGTTGCGCGAAAGTATACCGAAATTCTCTGTTTTCAAAATGTACGCATGGAATTTCGATATTCGACAATAACAGCACGTATATAATTTTCTTAAAGTTTATAAGCATTCTAACAAAATAAATGAGAAACCTACATATATTGTAATTACTTTAATATAGAATAAATGATGCATCGTTTTCATTACCAAACATCAATATATTACACATTTTTTACTAGAAAATTGTATCACACTTTAAAAGAAACCTTCATAAACTTTATAAAATGCTATATAATTCAAATGATTATTCGTTTTCGAATAGATACTTGAACACACATGTTGAACGTATTGTTCACGTTGCGACAGAATAGGAATCACGGTTCTTATACGGTACAAGTGGAAAAAGAATAGAATCGTTAGTAACTGTGAAATTTGATAAAGTACGCAATGTAGCAGAATGATACTATAAAAACTATTATGAAGCCCCGAGCAATCTGGGGCAACAAACTGAGAAAAGTATTAATGACACGAAATGAAAACCTTCGTGACCGAACTTGATCATCACGCCAATGAAATACGCAGACTGCCCAGCCATTAAATTACATTGTTGTGAATATGGTAACGGCAAAGAGCCAACAGGGTAGATCGTACATCTAAATTTTTGCTTGGACTTTATATCGGCAGTTAACGCGGATGATATACGCGCATAACGCTCGTCCAACGATGCCCACCAGCTTTTTGTAAGCGACCACCGGCTTAAGCTTCAGCTGTTAGCTATTCGGCTAAGTTTTATGTTGACCCACGAACTCGTTATTTACGACAGCCATTTCGCAATGCCGCTAGACGCAACATTCTTTACTTACAATCAAACAAATCGACAGTTAATGTCCGCCCTTTGAGTGTTTCTATTACAGTAGAACCGTGGTCAACTGATTTAATTCAATGAATAATAATTTAAATAAATTCTGATTTCGGAGGAAATTGTTTAAAGTACATTTGCAAACTTAATCGCATATATCCTAAGGTATAATCTAAGAATAAAATATTATGGATTCTGCGGATAACCAAAACTTTGAACGATCTAAATCGTAAAATATAATCATAGGGTCTAAATCGAGACTGTAATGACAATAAAGTAATTAAATGGAACACCGTAAATTACGCTACTCTAACTACGTGAACTTTTCAATTCTTTCGGATTAACTCGATTATGATCGAAGAAGAAATGATAAGAAAATAGAGTAATCGATACTCATCAGTATGCCCAACGCGTTGACAACGCAAGGCTGAAATTCTGGTTGCGAACGCACAGGGGCATTCGAGTTGCGCCGCGTGGGAATACAACTGGCCATTTTATTGGTTATTTTGACACTTTAAAATACATTGTAAACGTGACGTCATCGTACACGTAACAATAAAACTGCATTCAACCGCGAGTTATAGAATTAAACGATAGGCAAACCGATGAATGGAAATTTATTTTGCAACGAAGCGGTTACGACGTGCAAAATATGTGAATATATAATCGCATATCGCTACGTGAAAAGCAGAATGAAGTTATATGCAGTAATAAGTGTAGTTTCTTTCATACGGAAATAAAAAAACATCATACTTTATTATATTATATATTAATCCATTAATAACGTTGTATTCACAATGTATTGTATTCTGGATATTAGGTAAAAGTAATAAACAAATTGAAGAATCAAATAAACTGCGTGTATTTTATTCTAATACATTATTAAAATAATAGGAATAATAAAACTATAAGAATATAGAAGGAATTTTATTCCAAGAAATGATTCATTTAATATCTGAACATGATGCATCGTATCATTATCTATTACATATTCCTGACGAGCTGAAAAATTTTGTTGTTACTTGTTATGTGCATACATCAACATCTACTCAAACTTGTTGCCAAGTACATTTGAATTGTTCGCAATTATGGTGCAAAATTTGGATGATTTATGATGTATTCTGTGTATTTATAGCGTGAATAATTTATCACCATGATTCGACAGTAAAATGTAATAAAGAAGTGGAAAACAGGTATTGGAAACGTGAAGTTGGATGATCAGGCTTCTCCTTATAAATGACTAACTTCATTTCACCGACAACGTCGTTCAAACAGTTAATTTACTGAAATACTGTGCATCGTTACCTTATTCCTTATTGTGCACCTTATTCCAACTTTTTTAATTTTATGTTTATGACATTAAAACATTTGTAAATTCAAAACTTTTATATAACTCTTTAT